TTTGTCTCACCTCAGTTGGAAGTGGCCGCCTTTTTTGTGTGGCGCTATGTCCAGGAATGTTTCTTTCCACGTCTTGGTAATATTTTCCAAACCCTGTAAGATCAAAATGTAGACAGAACACAACGCTGAAAAACTGGAAATGAGATTAAATTTCTGTTCACTAAGAGCTAAAAATGTGTTTTTATTTACATGAAAAATTTATATTTATAGCCTTCCAACCGCCGTAAAGAGGAACATCTTTATAAATCGTAATGGTGCATTAGATTTTTAAAGACATCTTTTATTTTCAGTGCTTTAATAAAATCAAATGGCTGCTACTTTTGTACTTGAGTCACAGCTCCTTGAAACGCACAATTACTGCTTATTTGGGTAAATGAGTTGCAAACCGTATGCCAACTTTACGTGCTAATTGTTCCACACTTCAGGGAGGATAAACTTATATCTGCACTGAAGTAACCTCGTGAGTAACACCAAAGAAAAGAAGAGAGAATGCAGGCAGGAATAAAGTGATAAAGACTGAGATATTGTAGAATCTGTTAGCTCTGAAGGGAGAGAGTCAGTCTACATCAGGTCTGATTCTTCTTAATTTTCTTGTCCAGAATCAAAACAATAGATACACCAAAACTGCACCTGTTCTATTAGGAGCTCTTTGCTGGCAGCTCCAGAGATCTCGCAGATCTTGTTGGTATACCGGTCTAGACCCAGAGAGATGATCATCTCTAGGGTGAAGTCAGGACTGTTGTGGTCAAATGAGCACTGCAGCTCTTCACAGAGCTGCTTCCAGTGTCTGAAAGAAAGTGGTATTTAGATTATAGTTGGTCCGACCCTGCAAGGCAGCTGAAGAAACACTCCCAGCATATTTCAGATGACTAAAAGCAAATCTGATCACACATTCATTCAACCTTTATTTAGACAGGTAGATCCCATTGAGCCTTGAGGACTCATTTACAAGAGAGACATGATTTCATCAAAGAATGATGACAACAATAACAACAATAGACAGTTATAAAAAGGCATACAGAATACATATTTACATATATGTATATTTATACATATTTACTGCATACTAAAAGCTCATATATGGACAGATATTCTACCTGTGTTATAGACAGCGTAAAACGATCTTGATTTAAAAAAACATTGAAAAAAGACAGGGCAGCACGGTGGCGCAACTGGTAGAGCTGCTGCCTCTCAGCGAGCAGGTCCTTGGTTCAAACCCCTCTGGGTGGAGTTTGCATGTTCTCTCCGTGCATGCGTGGGTTTTCTCCGGGTACTCCGGTTTCCTCCCACAGACCAAAAACATGCATGTTAGGCTAATTGGTAACTCTAAATTGTCCCTAGGTGTGAGTGGGAGAGTGAATGGTTGTTTGTCTCGTTTGTCTCTATGTGTCCCTGTGATGGACTTGCGACCTGTCCAGGGTGTACCCCGCCCCTCGCACAGTGATTGCTGGACATGGGCACCAGCGACCCCCATGACCCAAAATGGAATAAGCGGGTAAAGAAAATGGATGGATGGATGGATGAAAAAAGACAGATTGGACAGTTTTTAGTAGAATCTAAGCGATATATCGATAGGCCGATAATTTAGGCCGATATAGGCGTTTTGGGGCCTATCGGATCGGTGATACTTGTCCCATTATGTACCAATATAAACACTTCTAATTTTCACTTCTAAAATGCTGGAAACCAGCAGTAATTGTACAAGCAGAGGGCGCATGAAGATTACTTTCAATTCATGGGCGTTCACTTGTTTCACTCTCACATTCAGCACAGATGAAGCAGAGAGCAATACTGTGTAGCACATTTTCTGAACAGAGCATGGTAAATTTATCTCAACTGACCTGTAAAACAAATCAACAACAATAAAGTATCTTCAATCCTACAAACTGCTTGTCATTAGCTGTGTGCCTCTCAAGTTAGCAAGCTAACATTTAGATAACCTAGCAAACCTTGTAAAACTTTATCCAGAACAATAAATCTAACGTAGAGATAAAACATATCAGTGTTAGTAATGTTATCCTTGTCGTTCTCAATGAAATTCATTGTTTGTCTGAATCTTTACTTTCTGTAAAAAAAAAAGAAAATAAAGCGTTGCTGCGTTCAATACTAATTAGACCTTCACCATATGTGACTGACTGTTTAAACAATGAACAGGAAAGGGTGTTTCCTTGTTTAATTTATATTTTTGTAACACACTTCATAATTATATGGTGAATAGCGGAGGATAGAAAATGTGAGCACACGTTAGAAAGACTGTTTTTGTAACTAGTGCATTACTTGTAAACCCACTGTGGGACTACTGGATCTGATTAGCTTAGCTTCATGGTTGTTAACAGCCACACTAACGAAACAAGCCCCGCTCCACTCGCTGTTTTCTTAGATTATTGGGGGTGGACGAAGCTAAAGAATGTTCAGCCATTACATCGGTTATCGGTGGTCACCTTCCCCGCCCAATATCGGTATCGGCAATAGCCAGAAGTTCCATATTGATCGGGCTCTAGTTTTTAGACTAGAAGATGTGTAAGAGCTTCAAGCGATAGTATGATGGAGCCTAAATGGTCTCGGCTCATTGGCTAACAGAAATGTTGGTGTGTTTTTATCATTCCGAGGATGAAACGCAAACGAGTAGGAGGTATGTAGAGATACAAGTACATGTATGAGGATGAAAGATGTTTTACTTTGCGCTGTAGGAGCATCACTGGCAAAACTAACAGATGGTGTTCAAAGGATGGCGTAAGAGAAGGAAGAAAACTCAGAATCTGATACCCAACACCGCCTGGCTGTTGTTGGGTTTATTTACAATACCAGCACTCATCTTTAGGGCCACGGAAACTTTCTGAATACTCAAAGCAGACCAGAACGTGGTTATATTATTTTCATTTCCTTGACATCTTTTTAATTAGATTTGTTTTATAGGTCCTCTGATATGTTTTGTTCCTCTACAAAATTCTTATGTTTGTTAAAAGTTGCAGCGTCAGACCTACTCCCTTATAATAAATGATTTCAAAAGTGCATTTGACTTGAGGAAGGTTCCTTGACAATGTTTTAAAACCTTCAAGTAAGCCAGTTAAATTTTACTTTTGCTTTTGATTCTTCCTAAATAAAGCTGTTAATTAAAAAAAACAGAAAACAAAACAGTGCCATTCTGAGATAACATACAACACAAGCAAGAAGAAATGCATTTTGGGAAGAAAAAAAACCCCCCAGCAACTACAAAGTATAATAACAAAAAAAATCCTATCAATGCATTTAAATATGAGCCTATTTTATTCTGATTAAAGACTGATTGCAGCAAAGGTCTGGAGTGCCTCCTGGGAAATACGTTTCAGACACTAATGGAGACACTATACAGGAGGAGTTTGAGTTAAAAGGCACCAGACCAAACTCTAAGAAAGGAGCACACAACAGTTTATTGTTTAGGACTTGGAACTCCGCTTTTTAAAAGTCAAATCATAAAAGAGAAAGCTGCTTATCTTATATTAGCTGTCCATATAAGGATTTAGAGTGTTACGTACTTGAGCTAACTGTTCCTGATATGTCTCGTATGGTCATGTCAACTCCACAACAGCAGTTTTGAGATACACTGCCATTCCAAGGTGTTACTTTCAATCATTACCTGTCTCTCATGGCTGGATTCCTCAGATCAGTAATGAGAGGAATGATGTGCTTGAAATGTTCAATCTTCATCTTGGAGAAATCCACAACGTCCCACTCTTTACCCTGCAATCAAACCAAACAGAGAGCTCCGATATTTTCACTATGCAGATGAGCCTGTTGCCGAGGCGATGGACAATCCCAAAGGAGCGGACCAGTTTGTGAAAGCTATGATTAATCAAACTCGCCAGTAACCACAATAGAAGATAAATTAATGAATGTTATTAAATCTCAGTTGAAAGTCAAATGTCTTCTAGATTTTAAAAAAGAAGACCAGTTGTCTTTAATTTAAATAGTAAGGATTATTATGTCACTATAATCTACATCATCACATTCCCCAGGTTTAGTGTGAGGGCTGCTTTGTGCACATGCGTGGGAAAATACAACTTAAATGGTAAATGGGCTGTACTTATATAGCACCTTTCTATCTTATCAAAATACTCAAAGCGCTTTACAACACAATGTGTGCCCTCATTTACTCATTCATACAGCACTCAACTAGATCTCTACAAAGAATAATCAGTGCTTTATCACAGTCATACACTGATGGGACACACATCGGAGGCATTGAGGGATTCAGTGTCTTACCAAGGGACACTTCAGCATGTAACTGCTGGTGGAATCGAACCCCCAACTCTCCCACTGGAGGATAACCACTCAACCTAACTTATGACTAAACGGACCTTGAGCTCTCTCTGGAGGATGTGGAGCTTTTTGAACATCTCCTGTGCTGTGCTTTCCATGGTTTCCGTCTGCAGTTTAGCAAGCTGAACGACCTTCCAGTCGTTCCATTTGGAGTCCCAGTCCACAGTGATTTCCCAAACACTTTGCAGCTGATCTATGTCCTGTACAACACGTAAAGACACAAAATCAGTAAACAAACAAAATAAATTACTTAAATACTGAACATCTTAAACTTGAAAATAAGGACCTCTAGCCAAAGAAATTATTTGGATTATCTCTTAAATTGCTTAAGATTCTGAACAGGACGAGACAAAAATAGCAAACAATACAAGTACAGAAAGTCTAGAGCTGCTTCAGACCTTCTCCAGCATCTGGATTATTTTGGAGGGGGGCTGATTGATCTTGTAGAAGGCCAGTCCATCAAAAATGGCGTTTTGCTCGTCTTTAAGAGTCTCCAGTTGGGTGCGATGCTCTGCTATTTTGTTCAAGGCAGAGTCAGTGCTTAGCGCACTCTGAAATGGACCTGGACATACAAATGTATACACAAACCTGTTAAAAAAAGAACACAAACTCATCCATACATTATGGTGATAATGTGTGCAACCTCTGGCATTGAAGTCATCCACAGTAGCTTCAATCTTCTTCTTGAAGTCCTCATACGAGAGGACAAGATTGTTCTTGAACTTTTCTTTGTGCTTCTGCAACAAGATGTCACTGTTGATCAGCACCTGCTGAAAACCAACCCACTCCTCGTTCAGCCCCTCATGCATCGCCTGCACCTGTGGGCCAACCAAACAGGAGGGAAAGAATCTGAAGAGTCCGTCATCTGAACCATCGGTCATATTTGAATATACAGTATGTAACGTTTCCAAACGTTTAACATAAAAAAAGTTTTTATCTAATTTCAGGGAATGTGAGAAATTGAATAACTTGGCTTTAATAAGAACAGATGAATTAGGGTTTTCTTGTTACAACAGTATGCTCTGACAGTTTAGATCAAGAACGTAGTACTAGTATTTACATAAAAAATATGAAACTAAAAATGTTTATGTATTTTAAATACGTTGTTCATTACGTATGTTTAACTTGAATAAATTGTTAGTTTTTGTTAATGAATAAATAAATAAAAACTTACAGACTTTTCCACATAGACCTCATATTTGTCAAGAATTGTAAATTGCTCATGGATCAGAGAAATCTGAGTTTCTGTCTTTGTCAAACTGCCCTGGAAAGTCTCCAAAAGCTTTAAGCTGTCGCCAAGATCAGCCAGGGTCTGCGGAGATTGTCTCAACCTGAACACATATATTCAAACAAACAAACAAAAATTCAAACACACACACAAACAAACAAACAAAGCAAAAACAAAACATAGGATCACCTTACCATACCTAGGGCTGAGTGCCAAACCGAGGTTCTTAAATGGCACAGACCGAACTGCACCGGTCGGTGTATGTATTGAAACGTCACTCTTTTTTCGGTCAAGTTTGGGTATTGGCTGTAAGGTGTCACGTGGTTTCAGCACGCAGGCAGGTAAAACGCAGACATTTAACAAACAGACTGTGTTTACACCCAGAGCTGTATAGAGCTGCCACACCTAATCTATGTGTAATGTATGTCTATGGTGCTGGTGACGCCCACAGATGGGGTTCACGTGTGCAGCGCGTGTTGTTGAACGGCTCCGACAACACACGCGCAGAAAGTTGCTCTGTGTTTTTCTGCAAGAAGACAGATGGACAGCAGCCTCCTCCCCCCTCCTCCTCCTCTCAGCGCGAGTCAGTCTCTGTGTGTGTTAAACGGACTGAATCAACATTCCACGACCGAACTCGTCTTCATCAAAGAACTCCCGAGGACGGCTCTGTGTCTGTGTTTCAGCTAGTAAGTTTACGTTTGTTAACGTTACTGCAGCTTAACACGTACATCGCGGTGAAATAACTTTAAGAGATTAATGTTTAAATTTATTTTATCTACGTAGCTAGCTAAACTCAGAAGCTAACTAAAGATTGACAGTAACAGATAAATCTTAACTTGTAAAACTGCTCATCCATCCTGTAAGCTGCTTAAACAGTTCACCTAATGTTCACCGTTTATGTTTATCTTCTCCTCACAGGAGCCTCTGACCCAGATATGAGGACAGACAGAAAAGTGAGGTGGGGGCCACAATCACAGACTTTGTTGTTAAAAGTTTGCTGTCATTTCTATAGTGGAGCTGCATGGTGGAGGTAAGTAACAGTGAGAGAGGGAGCCTTCCTGACATGCATTGGTAACTCATTCCACAGTCTTAGATCTGCAACAGAGAAGGTCCTGTCACCTCTGAGCTTAAGACGGGTTCCTGGAATCAATAGAAGCATCTGATCTGCTGATCTCAGAGAGCACTGGGGGACATATGGCTGCAGCAGATCAGCGAGATAAGAAGGGGCAGGGCTGTTTAGAGATTTGAAAACATACAGAAGGATTTTGAACTGAATTTGAAAATGAACCGGGAGCCAGTGAAGGGAGGTCAGAACTGGAGTAATGTGCTCTCGTTTGCCTGAACAGGTTAAAAATTGGGTTGCAGCATTTTGGACAAGTTGTAATCGTGCGATGGAGGTCTGACCGATTCCAAAAAGAAGAGCATTGCAGTAATCGAGCCTGGATGTTATGAAAGCATGTATTACTGTTTCAAGGTTATTTTTGAACAGTATGGGCTTCAATTTAGACTGTCGCCTTATCTGAACCCCGCCCCCCCCCAAACAAACAGGATTTAACGATCGAGTTTACATGACTGTTAAGGGTCCATTATCACTCCCAGATTAGTGAGTCTTTGTTTCTCTAACTGGGCTAGAGAGGAAAGGTCGATACTGGGGTTCTTGATCGTGCCATTAGGAAGAAACAACATGACTTCAGTATTCTTCTCATTAAAACTTAAGAAATTTAAAGACATCCAGTCTCTGAGTCCCAGGCAGTCAAGAAGAGGTTGAATAGAACGTGCACCAATGTGCTTCAGAGGGAAGTAAATTAGACAGTCATCAGCGTAGAAATGAAAAGGTATGCCATGTTTATGAAAAACAGCACCTAGTGGCAGCAGGTATAAAGAAAAGATAAGAGGACCGAGGATGGACCCCTGCAGTACCCCCCCCCCCCCCCACTGAAGAGTCGCAAATGATGAACTAAAATGCTCAATGTTGACACAAAAGGTTCTGTCAGAGAGGTAGGATCTAAATTATTTGAGGGCTGACCCCGTAATGCCCACCCACTGCTCCACACTAGAAATGAGGATCTCATGGTTGATCGTGTCAAAAGTAGATGTAAGGTCCAATAGGACAAGAAGCACAGTCACCTGCATCTGTGGCTAGGAAAACATCATTAAAAACATTCAAGAGAGCAGTCTCGGTGCTGTGGAGAGATTTGAAGCCTGACTGGAACACCTCTAAAATGGAGTGATCCTCCAGGAAACATTTTAACTGGGACTCAACTATTTTTTCCAGTAGTTTTGAGACAAATGGAAGTCTAGAGACAAGCTAAAGTTGGGCACCAGTGAGGGGTCAAGGCTAGGTTTTTTTTCAGCTGAGGTTGAACAGCAGCATGTTTAAAACTTTTTGGCATCACACCTGAGGAAAGACTGTTATTGACAAAAGAGAGAAAAGAGGGGCCCAGAATAGAAAAGACCTCCTTTAGAAGACGAGGGGGGATAACATCAAAAGGGAGACCAGAACTTTCATTACAGAATTATTTTTATTTTTTAGCAACATTTTTCTTCAGAAATTAATGCCTTGATAATGCCAGTCCATTCATTTTGGCCATAAAAAACATTTATTATGTACATTTTGAGTTTACAGAAAAAGTTGGTCTTGTAAAATATTTTATTTATTTATTTATTGTATTTATTTATTCATTCGTTTAAAAGAAATGTGTATAATAAATGAATTATTATGATAAATAAATAAATATGATGCATCATATCATAAGTGATATAATAATAGTGGATATATGTCAGATATAGCAAATAAAAGAAGCTGTTTTATTTATTTTTTCTTTTAATTTGCTTGTTTATCTGTTTCACTGGTAGCAATTTCTTGTTTTAACTGTTGCTGTTTAAATGCAGTCTATTATTATGTCCTTGAGTGTTTTGATAGATGACAAGAAGTTGCTGTTGTTAGTTTTATTATTATTATTATTGGAAGGAGGAGGTAAAGATAATAGATACACGAATGGATAATATATGAGAAACAATATGTAAAACACATGAAACTTTGCCAGAACTCATTAAGGTTTAATTATTAACTAACCAATAGAGTCCTTTGGTTCTTGAGATGTTTCAACTTTATATTATTTGTCATACTTTTTACTAATTCCCAACAAGGTGCCAATAGAACAGCAGAATAATAATAATAAAAGAAAAGCAGAAACACACCTGTTAGCATTGTCTTGCATGGAGCCATAAAGTTCTTGTAGGCGGATTGTGGCCACCTCAAGAAGAAGTTCTGTAAACTTGGTTTGCCACTCGTTACAATGTTGCACCAGTGACGACTTGAGTGGTGAACAGTCCAACGTAACAAACTGGATGTTGACAATGGTTTCTTCCTGTTGAATGTTGTTGGCGTTCTCTGTGTACCTGAGAGAGAATAAGACGATGAACATATCAGATTTAAAACATGCATATTATATGACACTAACAACAATGGAAGCAATAAATGTTGGCCTGAATGTACTCAGTAAGTACCAGCTGCAGTAAGCACTTCATAATTATGAAGTAAGTATAGCGAAAGTACCAGGTAAGTGATTGGTACATACCTACTACATACTAGTAGTACTAGTAGTAAATAGTAGTTAATTTTAGTGTATATATATATATATATGTGTGTGTGTGTGTGTGTGCGTATTAAGGCATTTTAAACCCTTCCCACACTCTTGCAATAATCCAAACAATGTTTCTAAACTCTAAACGCTCTAAAAGACACAGAATGTCATGATTTCAGCTCTCTGCCTCCTCTGCTCTCAGCCACATGCAAGTGCTCTTGGCCACGCCCACTTCTCCGCTCTGCACGGTGAACAGCTGATCAGCTGCAGCAGGATGTTTATCCTGCAGCTCTGGGCTGCACAAATGTACAGCAGGTGCTAAATAATTTTAAATAATTTATTTTAAATAAAAATTCCATGCTGATGGTGCGGCTCATCCATCAATCAGCCAATTGTGTGTCGTGTCCAGTCTTACTTTGAAAAACCGCGACACAGCAAGTACATGATAAATGAACCACGAAGAAGCGAGGGACTACTGTACCTTGTAAGTACCAGAATGTACCAGGCTGTAACTTACATTTCTACCTTTACAAAAAACAGTCTCTCAAAACTATTGAACAAAAAGTCCTTTGTAAGTACTGAATATGTATTGGGCCTTATTTATGCTACTATCATCGCCATTTGGTGCTTTTTCTGGAAAACACAGGAGAAGCTTTCGAGACAGGTGAACTGTGGAGTGACGTACCTTTGAATGTCTGCATCAAAAGACGACACTGGATGGTTCTTTCTCTTATAGCGCTGTATAAAGAAGTCCTTGTTCATCTCCCAGATGGCCCTGTATTTGTCCCAGCTCTTCAAGTAAGCCTGCAGGTGGCTGGCATTGGCTGACATCCCTGCGGTAATGGCAGCCTGGATCTTTTTAATCCCCTCGTCTTGCTCTGAAGGATCATAAAGGACTAGGGTGAAGCCAGATGCAAAAGCAGAAGCACATAAAATTACCAAGTACGCAAAATAATTACAAAATTAAAAAAAAATTCATCCAACCTATGTTCACATATATGGGATTCGCCTGAGACTCATTGCTTTTGAAAAGGTCAGGAATTTGCTTAAATTCTGAGATGACGCTGATGAGCTGAGGCAAGATGTTGACGATCTGAGCAAGCTTGCTCAGAGACGGGGAGAACTCCACCTGTCAATGACAAGATGTTTTACACCCATTCACTTCCCTTAAAACAGATTTGGACAGGAGAGAGAACAAAGAAGAGAACCAGAAATGAACGCTTGCTTTATCAATCCGCACGTGTTTCCGTGCTTGTTTATTGCTATTAAACCACTGATTAAAACCATTTTTCTGTCGTATCTATGCAGTGAGCGTTGCCTTTTTTGTGAACAGATCTCAGTTTGAGCAGCCTGAAGACAGTATGTTGTATGTTGGTGGTACCTTGGGTGGACCTTGAGCAGATGTCTGCTGTAGAACTACAAGGACTTTAAACAACGGGTTGGGCAAGATCTTGTTTTCACAGTTGATGACTCCGGAAAGCTTCTTCATAGAGTTGCTGATATTAGAGAGAAACCCTTCCTCTACCATGCGGTTCACCTTCTCTGTATAGGTGGCCCAATGCTCCTGGACCTTTAACACCAAAACACGGTGCAGTCAATGAAACAAACTTCACTGGTCTACAAAATAAAAAAAATAAGAGCGTCAACGTTTATGAAGCAACCGAATCTTTAAAGAAAGAAAACTGCTTTTACCGCAGTTCCATCATCAACAAAGATGCTGTGGATGTCGGTGACAATGTTAAGTATGTCCTGGTGCACCGAGCACAAGATTAGAAGACAGCTCTGCTGGTGAGCCGTCTGGTCATCCTCAAACTGCAAGTTCCTGAAGAACAA